TATGCACTTTCTTGTCATTTTGCTTTTTTTTTTCTTTCTTTTTTTTTTTTTTTTTTTTTTTTTGAGACAGCTGGCCTGGAACTTTGAGTGTAGACCAGGCTGATCTTAATCTCACAGAGATCTGCCTGTCTCTGCCTCCTAAGAGCTGGGATTCAAGGTGTGCACCACTCTGCCCAGCTGTTAGCTCATTTCTTAGGCTTTGTTTCATTGGTGCTTTTGAGACAGGGTCTCATGTAACCCAGGTTGGCTACAAACTTCTTGTGTGACCAAGGATGATCTTGAACTTCTGGTCCTCCTGAGTGCAGGGATAACAGGTGTACACCACCATGGCTGGTTTTTATGCAGCTGAATTCAGGGTTTTGTGCATGCTAGGCAAGTACTACATTAACTGAACTATATTCATAGGGTTCTAGTTTGGGGTGTATGTCAGAATCTACGTTCTGGAAAAGCAGGAAGAGGTAAGGAGGAGTGCAGGTGGGGGAACAGCATGCATGAGGAAGAGGTAGGCAGATTTTTCTGAGTTCCAGGCCAGCCTGGTCTATTTAGTGAATTCAAGGCCAGCCAGAGATACAAAGTGAGACCTTGTCTTTAAAAAAAGAAAAAAAAAAAAAGCTGGGCTGGAGAGATTGCTCAGCGGTTAGGAGCACTGACTGCTCTTCCAGAGGACCCGGTTTCGATTCCCAGCACCCACATGGTGGCTACGAACTGCCTTTAACTCCAAAACCAGAGAAATCTGAAGCCCTCTTCTGACCTCCATGGCATTGTACGACATGGGTGCACTCACATGTAGGCAATACACTCATACACATAAAATAAAAATAACAAATAAAATATATTAAAAAAAAAAAGCAGGCTGGAGAGATGGCTCAAGAGCACTGACTGCGCTTGCAGAGGACTCAGGTTCGATTCCCAGCACCCACATGGCGGTTATGAACCGTCCTTAACTCCAGTTCCAGGGGGATCCAAAGCCCTCTTTTGACCTCTGCGCATTGCATGACACGGGTGCACTCACATACATGCAGGCAATACATTCATACACATTAGAAAAAAAAAGCAAAAGAAAGAAAAGAAGGGTATCATAACCATTTTCCCCCAGGCTCCTTGGGTCTGGCCCAGGCTAGGTGTGGGACATAGATGTGGGGGTGCTGGAGGGGCTAAGATAAGCAGGGGCTGTAGCTCTGGGCTGACTGGAAGCTTCAGGGAAATGTAGACCAGATGGGGTGGGTACAGTAGGAGGAACGGTTCATGGAGCAACTTTTCAGAGTTCTGCTCTGCCTGTTCCCACCTCCTAAACATACTGGTCTCTTTGCTTCATGCTCCTTGAGCCAGGCTTCTGGATTCATAGAGGGTAATTGATACCAAAGATCAGGTTTTAGAGGGACTTGGGTCAGAGAGAGCCTAGAAAGTTCTCATTTTTCAGCGTTCCCACCTTCTTCTTTCTCAGGGGGTCTGGGGGGTGCCTCCTGATTTAGAGCTTTCTCTGCCCCTTTGACTTCCTCTGGAAAAAGTCTTAGAGAAGACTAGCAGTCTTGACTTCTAGCAGGAGAAAGGGATTTAGGGGACATTCAGGACCAGGTGTCCAATCTGGGAAGGAAAAAGCCTGGGCTACTTGGCCATTTGGTACTGAGGGTCAGGGCCTGTCAAAGATGGGAAGGAGGCTGGAGGTGTGTGTGGCTCAGTTGGTACAGCATGTGCCTAGTATGAAACAGAGCCCTGGGTTTTGTCCCCAGCACTGAAGAAAGTGGGCATGGTGGTATACACGTGTAATCCCAGCACTTGGGAAATGGAGACAGGAGGATGAAAAGTTTAAGGCCACCCTCAGCTACATATCAAGTTCCAGGCCAGCCTGGGATATATGAGATCCTGTATCAAAAAAATGAAACAATAGGCAGCTGTAGAGATGGATCCAAGGTTAAGAGCCCATATTGCTCTTGCAGAGAACCTAAGGTTTGATACTGGTTAGGCAGCTTATAACTGCCTGTCACTCCAGTTTCAGGGGAGCTGACACCCTCTTCTGGCTTCCACAGGCACCTGTATACACATGCATCTACCCTCACACAGTCACACACACACATGCACATAATTTAAAAAATAAAATAAATATTAAAAGCTTTTTATTTATTTTTATTAAGTTTTAAAATTATTTTATGTGTATGAGTATTTTGCCTGCATGTATGTAAGTGTACCACGTTTGTACAATGCCCGAAGAGGCCAGAAGAGGGCATCAGATCCCCTGGAACTGGAGTTACAGATGGTTGTTGACTGCCATTTAGGTGCTGGGAACTGAACACAGGTCTTCTGCAAGAGTAGCCAACTGCTAAGCCATCTCTTCAGCCTCAAGACTTTATTTATTATTTTATGAGTGTTTTGGCTGCATGTATGTATGTGCCTTGTGCCTGCAGAGGCCAGAAAAGGGCATAGGTTCCTCTGGACCTGGGGTTAAGGAACTGGAGTTAAGCCATTGTGGTTTCTGGGAACCAAACCTAGGTTCTCTGGAAGAGCAGTAAGTGCTCTTAACCACTGAGCCATCCCTCCAGCTCAGAATAAGATAAATCTCAAAAACAAACCAAAATAATAAACAAAAAGTTGGGAAGGGAGGGCCTAGAAGTTTTGGGACTCCTGACTTCCCTGGGAGGAAAAAAGGAAAGGTGATATAAAAAGGGACTTGCAGTTTTTTTTTTTGTTTTTTTTTTTTGTCTTTTTGGTCTTTTTGAGACAGGGTCTCCCCTGTAGCCCCAGTGTCCTGGAACTCACTATGTAGACCAGGCTGGCCTTGAACTCAGAGATCCGCCTGCCTCTGCCTCCCAAGTGCTGGGATTAAAGGTCTGCACCACCACACCTGGCGCGGTCTCTTTTTTAAAAATATTTTGTTTATTATTTTATGTGTATGTGTGTATTGTCTGCATGTGTGTAAGTGCACCTGTGTCATGGAGTGCCCTCGGAGGTCAGAAGAGAGTGTCGGATCCCCTGGAACTGCAATTACAGACAGTTGTTAGCTGCCATGTGGGTGCTAGAATTTGAACCTGGGTCTTCAGCAAGAACATTTAGTGTTCTTAACTGCTGAGCCCCAGGACTTGTGGTCTCTGAGCATCAGCATCAGGTTTTCTCTCACAGTTCTCATATGAAGTCCAGCAGAGGAGACTTCCTTCTTGAGAAAGGGGAGACTTGAGCTAGTCCTCAAACCTTTGTGTTGCACCCTGAGGTCTCACTGAACTTTCCTGGCATAGCTGGGTGCCATTCCCAAATTGATCCTGGCTATGTGAGATAGAGTATTATGGGAAGGGGCCCTGGGAACAGAAGTCCCATAGACCTCTGGCCCCTTTCATGTGGGCAGAAGGCTAGCACTCTCCCTTAGCAATTCCTGTTCCTTCTCAGTCTCAGAGTACCTGCCTGTCAAATGGGGGAGGGAAGTTACTGGCTCACTATGTCATCTAGAAAGCACATATATACCTTTATGACTTCTGTAGACCAGCTCTGCCTGGAGTCTTGTTCTACAGAGTGGGGAGGTTTCTTCCCATGTTACTTACCCAACCCTGCTTTGGTTATGAGTGGTGTCAAGAGCTTGGCACTGCTGTCTCTGTGTCTGTCTATCTCTCTCCAGACAAGATCTTGTATAGTGTAGTAGCTCAGGTTGGCTTCAAATGCTCTGCCTTTCTGTCGCAGAACCCAAGTCCTGAGATTATAAGCATGTGCCATCATAGCTGGCTCACTCTTGATGGGGTACATGCATATATCCTTCTGTCCCTCACTAGCACCCCCAAGTTAAGGCCCCCAGCATGGTGTCTGTGCGCTTGTGCCTGGCCTGTACTTCTTTGGTGGTGGGGGGTGGTCTAAACAGGGAGGAGAGATGAAGATCTCTGGATCAGTGAGGCTGGACTTCACTCACTGTGTCAGTCTAGCCAGGGTGGGTTTGGGGAACTGTCAGTATCCCTAAGAGGCAGAGGCAGGGCTATGCAGAGATTTTTTTCCTCCCTAGGCTCCCCAGTCTCTGTTGACCTAGTTCCCAGCGCTTCCTTGGAACTGTTTGCTCAGGTGACCTGCCCTACCCTGCCCTACCTCACCCTGCACTACCTGGCCAGCGTGCAGCCTGGGGACACCTCTCAGAGTGCCTGCCTGGTACTAGCTCCCCATAGGTTGGGGGGCAGGCAGTGGTAAGCTGACTGCCTCCCAACATTAGATTGGGCCACTGCTTTCCTTGTCCATATCAGAATGAAGGGAATTCATAAATGCTGGCTCTATGCCTGGCATGCTGAGGCCCCTATAGAGTCTGGAAGGCTCCAGTGTTACAGGGCCCTGGGACAGGACTCCAGGTAGATCAGAGCCAGATTACTAACTTTCTCAAGTATGTTGGGCTCTGCTTGGTGGCTGTATGGTGTTCTAAGCTGGGCCCAGGTGGATGGAAATTAGCAGAGAAGCAATTGAAGGTCAAGAGGGGATGAAATTAAATGGAGAATGGGGAGGAGGCAAGCCTTTGTGTAGTGATACTTGTCAATAATAATTGATGACATAATTCATGGTCAGTGATTATAGTACAGAGGCCTACAAGATAACAAGTCCAGGCTGGCCAGCCTCCCGGGTACCTTGTCAAGGTTGGATGCAACATCACTGGGAGGGGTAGGGTAGGGTGGGTAGGGGTTGCCACGACCATGGAAGTGGCACTGGGGGTGAAGGGCCATGGAACTTGTGCAGTAGTGCAAAATGCCTTGGCAGCCCCTACCCTCAGGGTCTGTCACTTTGTTTTCCCTAGAACAGCATAGACTGGGGCACCCTGGCCTGTGGTCTCTACCTCAATCCACACTGGACTGGGTACCATGGTTC